GCACACACATCAGCATGGCCACATTCCGCCCCCCGCCCCCGCCGCTGCACTGCATGCTGGGACTGCCCCACCCTTGTCTTTTCCGCAAGCCGCTTTTTTTTTTTTTTTCCCTCTGGTACTGGGGATCGAACTCAGGTCCTTGGGCTTGCATAGCAGGCAGCGAAACCACTGAATCCCCGGCCCCTGCAAGCCGCTTTTAACCTCAGACCCTCTCTGGTTTGCCCAGCTTTGGCTTTCTTGCCACCTATTCTAGAAATTAAGCCACCTCAGATGCCAGAGGCTGGTGTTGCTCCCATTTCTCCCACTGGCCTTGACCCCAGTGTCCCACCTTGCTAGGAGCTCCAGAGGGTTCCCGGAAGGGAGACGATACAAAGAGATCTTTCTTCCATGGCTACCGGCCAGTCTTGGTCTCTTCTCTGGCCTCAGTTTACTCATCTTTAAAATGTAGGAATGAGACGGTCTCTAAGGAGTTCACATTTGATGCTGAACAAGGCGGGCCCTCTGTCAAGTCAGAGAATGTGGGACAACTGCAGAGCCAGCCCCACACTGGAGGGGGCCTGGCCCAACCCTGAGCTCCCCACAGAAGTGGAAGATTATCCTTGGGGACCATAGGCAGAGGCAGAGAGCCCATGTCCTGGAGGACAGGTGGCAATGTGTGGCAGGAATGTGGGTGGGAAGGTGCCAGGATCCAGTCTGACCCAGCTCAGATATTTATAGGTGCCAGGCACAGTTCTAGTGGAACTCTGTTCTATCTTCAGATACCTGAAGGGCTGCCATGGGGCACAGGGAGGGGACTTTCTCTGTGTGACCCAGTTGGTAGAACTAGGACAGTGAGAAAGTGGGTAGAAGCTCCAAGGAGACAGGCAGACTTTGGTTCAATATAATGATCGACATGATCTCTCTCTCTCTCTCTCTCTCTCTCTCTCTCTCTGTCTCTGTATGTGTGTGTGTGTGTGTGCGTGTGTGCATGTGTGTGCGTGTGTGCGTGTGTGTGTGTGTATAGGGGTGTGAATTCTGCTATGGTACATTTTGTTCCCTTGAAATTCTTTATCTCACTTACTCTTCTAGGCCTATCCTATTTCATACCGTACTATTTCCTCTTTACCTAATTCTGTTCTTTGACTCGTAAATAATTTTTAGAAGAAATAATATTTTTATTGAGAAAAAATAGTACAAGCAAAAAAACAGTACAAGCCCACCATGAAAGATTCAAATTGGTCAAAAATAGTGAGCGGTGAAAAGTAAGTCTTTCTCCCTGCCTGGATCCCCACATTTGTATTCATTCCATTTCTGTCTCTAGAAATAATCACTGTTACCAATCTTTGTCTTCACTCAGAAACATACAAGTATCTGTTTATCCATCTCTTTGGTCCTTAATTTTTTTTTTTTTGGTACCATGGATCGAACTTGGGTCCTTGTGTTCACGCAGCAGGCGGTGAACCACTGAGCTAAATCCCCGCCCCTTGGGTCCTTTATTTTAACACAAGGTGAGCATATCATGTGACCAGATCCTTGTCCGCCTCCATCCCAACCTAACTGTGCAGCTTGGAAACTGTAAGAAAAAGTTTTCCTTAGTGCGGTGTCCAGTGATGAAATGGGCTAATGACTCTCCTAAAACTGCAGATGTGGTTAGCAGGAGCTAGCTGACCACTTGGAGAAAGAGAAACGGAGAGCCAGCTCTCGGCTGGGACCGGGAGGTTAGACTCGTGCCTTCTAAGGGGTTTTCCATCAACTGGTTTGTTGGACACAAAGAGAACAGCTCTTTATCCCACTTTGTACCCACCTTTCTCTGCTCCTCCCAGCCCCCCACAAGCCAGGCCAGGGTCACCAGTGTCTGAAGCTGCCCAGAGCTGGCTTCCAGCCCTCATGTAATTGACAAGAGCCCCCCAGAGATGGCCTCTCCCTGTGCCAGCCACATGCCACTAAACTCCAAATTAAGAGGCCCAGCTGAGATTGCTGTCTTATTCCACCCATACCCCTGGGGCCAATCCGCTCTCATTTCAGGAGGGAAATGGAACTAGAAGTTTGGATTTGGGAAGGGGGGTGGAAGGGGCTCGCCACCAAAGCCGGTCCCTCTATGCTCCAGAGAGATGTGCGTGCCCTACCATGCTGCTTAAGACTTCTCCAGAACACCGTCCCCCCAAATCCAATAAAATTGCAAATTTCACTGTATTTCACAATACCCTAAATAAACAAGAACAGCATGCGTTTGTCTTCCTTGCATCAAATATTAATCTGCCTGTGGCCAGCGCCCGCTCCCCTGCGTGTGTGCGCACGCTGGGTAAACACCGGGGCGATTGTGATGCCAGACCGTCCCTTCTCTTCCCCAAGTCGAGAGCATGACAAATTTTTCTCCTAATTACACCTGCCACTGTTTGCTTTCTAATACTGTAAATCCTCCATCACATAGTTTTTCAGATTTGGGATTAGGTTCTCTTCCTGTCGTACAAATGATTGAAGGGGGCGACATAGGGGAGTGAATGGGAGAAACCATGGGCTGTATGGCGTTGCTTTTCAGTTTCTCCGTGGTGTCCCTGAGCCGGGCACAGGCAGTGTTCCCAGGCCACCGAGCCTCCTTCCTTCAGGGTGCGAAGGAGATTTCAAGGGGTGATATGGTGGGGGAGGGGGATGGAGGCACGACACCTGCTCAGGTGTACGGAATCTGCGCACCCCAGCTGTATCAGCCCCTTAATCACCCAGGAAATCCCGAGGATAATCAAAAGCGCTCAGCACGGTGCCCGGGACAGAGCAGGCAATGAGCCAGAGCCCCTTCCTCTTTACTCTGTCTCTATCATTGTCTGTCCTAGACCATGAAACCTGATCCTCACCAGCTCCTGTGTCCCCCTCCCGGTCCACCCGTGTCCCCCTGGCTGCCACACTGCCCTTTCTAAGGCCCAGAGCTCTCCAGTCATGGCAGGCCCTGGACAAAGTCCCCAAAGACACCCCCCAGGTTTGAGGCCTGGCGGGGCCCAAGATTCTCTGGCCTCTCGTCCTCCTCTCCTTATGCTCCCTGTCCATCCACGCTAGATGGCGGTTACCCTGCTGAGCATCTTTCCTTCCCCAGAGGCCATGTTCCAGCTTCCACCTTCATTCCTTCTCTGCCTGTTGAAATGCCAGCTTTCTTTCCAGGTGTTTGCTCTTCGAGGCCTCAAGGGCACAGTGTGGAGGGGAAATGGGGGCTGAAGAGATAAGAAACACGCCACCCCCCAAATTTCCATCTGTGAGCCCGTGCTGGCCCAGTGGTCTTCCCTGCCTGTTGTCTGTGTGTCTGGTGCATCCAAGCCATGCAGACAACACCCAAACCTTTCTCGCAGGGCTTTGGCGGTTGTAGTAGTATTGGTCACTTTTATCTGGTAATGGGTTGTGGGTACCAGCTTTGCCCTCTGCCTCTAGGGATGCCGGGTCCATGTCCAGGAGGAGGAGCCTCTTGGGCATGCGACCCTAGTGTGGTCTCCATCCTTCCAAAAGCCCCCTGGAGTGGTTCTTTTTTGGTACCGGGGATCGAACTCAGGTTCTTGTGCTTGTGCAGCAGGCAGCGAAACCCCTGAACTAAATCCCCAGCCCCAGGAGTGGTTCTTGAAGTCTTCTCTCAGAGTCAGCTTGTTCAACTTGAATAATAACTGTCCCTGGCCCTGTCCCCTCCCCACACATTTCACCTTCAAAGGGCTGGGAGAAATTTCCCTAATTAATTAACTCCTCTGCCGCCTGTCCTCCACGTCATTGGGTGATTAATCGTCACTGCGACTTTAAATCCAGGGGCGAAAGGAAGTTGGCAGTGGCCGGAGGCCAGAGGCAGGAGTTTGGGGATGGGGGCAGCCTGAGAGCCTTTCCTGGGTTGGAAGACCCAGACTCACCGCCTTCTTGCCCTTGCCCAGGGCCTGGCTGTGCACCCCCAGAGCCAGACTGCAAATGCATCCATCAATAATCGATCGATGAGTCTCATATGAGACTGTGAGAACTGGGGCATTCCGGGAGAGGCAGTGGCTCATGCTTATCTTCAAGTCTGCAGAACAGGGTAGCAGTAAGGACATTGGCTTTGGGGTCAGGAAGAACAAAATTCCAATTCCAGCTCTGCCTCTTTCCAGCCCTGTGCCCCACTGCCTTCCTGGGCCTCAATGTTCTCACTTGTAGAATGGCGACTGGTAATAGCACTGCCTCCGGGGGCTGCTGGGGGGCAACACAGGAACACGGGTGTGAAGCCTGGTGCAGTGATGGTGGCCGTGATGTGGGGGCACTGTGGAGGGCCAGGAGCCCAGCATCCTGCCCAGTGCCCAGCTGGGACCCTCAGCCCCTTAGCAGCCGCTCTCCCCCACCCTCTCCTCTGTGTGAGTCAGCCAGCCTGAAGCTGTACTCCCTGGGCAAGGTACTTTCTTTACGTGGTCGTCTTAATTTCCCGATCTAGAAAACAGAGATAACGCTTCCCTCACTCTCCTTCCAAGGAAACCAGGGCACAGACAGGGATAAGGTCCGGCCTTTCTCCCGGGAGTTCCACAGCAGGAAAGGCAGACAGGTAAATATGGTGTGAGTTACAGGGCATTCACCTGGAGACATAAATGGCATCATGGCCCAGAGTGCAGCAAGGGCAAGGGCAACGACTGTTAGCATGTAATAGCTGTGTAAGAAACATCTGTTCCTGCTGGGTGCATGGGTGCACTCCTGTAATCCCAGCAGCTCTGCAGGCTGAGGCAGGACAATCACAAGTTCAAGGCCAGGCTGGGCAATGTAGCAAGACACTGTCTTGAAATTAAAAAATGAAAAAGGGCTGGGGAAGTAGCTCAGTGCTTCCTGGGTTCCGTCCCCATCCTGGTGGTGGTGGGGATCAGCTTTCAGCTTTCCCCTTCCCCACTTGGCCCATCTTCAAGGCCTGGAGCCCCGACCCACTCAGCGGCCCTCAATTCCTCTCCCCATCACCTACCTCAGCTGACATTTGTTGAGTGTTGATTGCTTAACACAGAATAACCTAATTTAATCCTTGCAACCTCCCATTTGAGACGTTGAGAACCAGAACCTAAAGGAGACAGAGCCCAGGGGACGACACAGGGCCAGGGGTTTGGAGCACAGGGCTACGGCTTAGGGCTGGAACAGTGGGTGTGGCGGAAGGCAGAGTGGTCCGCTCGGAAGCGGTGGAAGGGGCAGAGTGCCCGGTCTCCGACCCCGCCGCGCTGCGGGGGCCCAGGTTTGCAATCGCGGTGTGTTCAGCCGTTCGGCCTCAGGGCGGATGGAGGGTGCTGGGGTGGAGAATAGGGGCGGAAGAGCTGCCTGTGATTGCCCCAGGCTAGGAGAAGGGGAGGGGTTCCCCCCGGAGCAGGGCTGCGGCAGGGCAGAGCAGGACGGGGGCGCGGGAGGCGAGGGTGGTGCTGGCAGGTGTTGGGTGATAGGGTGCTGGGCGCTGCAGCCTAAGCGCCGGGTGCCCGCCCAACACTGGGGCGCTCAGGGCCTCCTCTGCGCCCTCTCTCCACTCCCTCCGCACTGCCCCCTGACGAAGTTCTGAGCACCACCCCGGCCGGCCCCGCCTGGGGCCTCTTCGTCCTGTTCCCTCTGCCCAGGATGTTTGTCCCCAGACCTCTCTCTGCTCAAAGCACCCAGTCCCCCAAGGAGACCCCCCCCACACCATATTTAGCCCCGAAGTCCCACCCGGCCAGTCCCTCTTCCCTTCTCTGACTTTATCTGGGCAGCATTTGTCACTATATTTCCTGTACTTCATCTGTTCTGTTTATTCTCTATTCCTTTCCATTAGAATCCAAGCTTCACTGGGCCGGGGATTTAGCTCAGTGGTTCCAGCGCCTGCCTCACAAGCGCAAGGTCCTGAGTTTGACCCCCAGTACCAAAAAAAAAAGAAAAGAAAAGAATCCAAGCCCTATGAAGAAAGGGATTCCTAAAAAAATAACCAAGGGCTGGGGATTTAGCTCAGTGGTTCCAGCGCCTGCCTCACAAGCGCAAGGTCCTGAGTTTGACCCCCAGTACCAAAAAAAAAAGAAAAGAAAAGAATCCAAGCCCTATGAAGAAAGGGATTCCTAAAAAAATAACCAAGGGCTGGGGATTTAGCTCAGTGGTTCTGCGGCCTGCTTTGCAAGTCTAAGGTCCCGAGTTCAATCCCTGGTACCAAAAAAAAAAAAAAGAACCAACATAGATTACGTAAAGGTACAAATCTCCATCGATGGATGTCATTATATTATATACCTAAAATGTACCAATAAAATTAATTTTTAAAAAAAGAAGTAAAGGGGCCAGGGATTTAGCTCAGGGGTTCTGGCACCTGCCTCGCAAGCACAAGGTCCCAAGTTTGATCCCTGGTACCAAAATAATAATAA